AACAGGCTTAGCTTGAGCAGCTTCCGCCTTGGAAGCAGCAGGCTAGCAGGCTTAGCTTAGGCAGCAAGGCTTGGCTTCCGGCGGCTTGGAGGCAGCAGGCTTAAGCGGGCGCAGCAGGCTTAACAGGCTTAGCTTGGAAGCAGGCTTAGCTTGGAACAGCTTAGGCTTAAGCAGGCAAGCAGGCAGGCAACAGGCTTGAAACTGCAGCAGCGAAGCAGGCTGAGCTAGGCTTAGCTTAGGCTTAGCTTAGGCTGAGCCTCCCTTTTTAAAAGGATCGCTTACTGAAATAGCAGCCCTCCATCCATCACCACGAATTCCTGGACTCCTGATTTCGATCCAACAACTCTAAAAGATAGTTTTTTTCTTACCAATAAAAATTACAACTTACTCTGCCCAATGTCTGTCTTCCCAAAAGATATCATCTACCACAATATCTTTGTACAATTTTCCTGGCACTGCATTAGGAATTTCTAGCTTCACCCTGACGGCGCTCAGCTTTTGGCCGTCCTTAAAAACTTCTACAAAAAGACTAAGAATCCTTACCCATCCATGTGAAGTCAAGTCATACTGCACGATACCATCCTTTTCTTTCAACAACTTTGCGTCTTTTTTCAGGGTCAGAGGCCCAGGTTTTTCGTTGAAATTGTGGGAAACAAATTTTAAGTATCCTAAATTTAATTAGATTCAAATTTTATTTGACAACTTACGATTCGGTCTATCCGAAATAATGTCGCCGATCAAGAAAGTATCTTGAGCAAGGGCCAGGCTAAGAAATAGCTCCAAAAATGAGCATCATCAGGGGATAGTGTCGAAATGGTCACCACAAACAGTTGCACTCAAATATAAAGCGTTCCACCCGCGCCTTTGGAATGTTGCTTCCTGTTTTCGCAGGTTCTGTCGGGGAAACGATTGATCAATTATCTCTCCCTCTCCATCTCTCTCGCTCTCTCTCTCCCTCTCCCTCTCTCTCTCTCTCCCTCTCTCAATCTTCTCCCAAGTTCCCAATTGCCGTGCATTTTTCGAGGAGAGACGGAGCCTCTATTTTCCTTTTTCATCCAATTTACTTTGGGCTGTTTGCTAAAATGTGACTCATCAGTTGGGACTCGATGACGTTGGCAAATTTGAGGATGACTGGTTTATTTCAAATTGGCACGGTGGGATTAAAAGTTGTAGCTTGTGGCTTTAGAAGCGGTATTCCATAGCTTCTGAATTTGTGGCCTATGGCTTCAAAGGTTGTAGCTTGTAGTTTAATGCGTTGTATCTCGTAGTTTTATAGTACGTAATCATAGTTTTTTGAATTCATTAGAGAAAAAGTATCACCATGTAGTACGGACTGGGACCTCTAAAAAATTGTAGCTTGTAGCCAATAGTCATAGTTTTCATTCGGTAGTTTTCTAATGCATAGATATATTTATTAAATCGTGATAATCCAAAATAAATTATTGCAACGGGTTCTGCTTCAAAAATTCCGGATCCGAGGCGACAATCTTCGCGATGAGGAATGCGTGTAGGTTGTAGACTACGGCCAGCACCTCTTCGCACTCCATATCCTGAGTTTTTATAATTTGATATGTACAACGGGTTGGAATTACCTTTGTCTCCAATTTACTTGGGTCCAAACTTCTTGGATCGTTAAAGACGAGTTGTACTAACACCTTCCCATCATCCGATGACGAGTGGAGGTCCCGGAATCGGTATTGCCAGGCGTAGCTCTAAAACTACGTTATCGATGCGTCGAATCCGTTTTTATACTCGTCTTAGAACAGACCTTTGTCGGAATATCATACAAGCTGATGCCCTGTTTGATGTCAAACACCAGTCCACTCGGGCGCCCTTCGTAACTGCACGCAAAGGTGCGCGTCTGAAATGGTGTTTTTCAGTTTTCCTCCCTCTCTCTCTCTCTCTATTTCTTTCTCTCTCTCGTTCGCTCTCTTTCTCTCTCTCTCGTTCTCTCTCCATATCTACCTGTAAAGCATTAATTGTAGCATGTACACAACGGTAGTAAGTCGCCTCGAATTGTTCTAGCATTTGCGGGAATTCGAAGGCTAGATAGTGCCGGGCGTCAACCCCTAAAAATATAAAAATATCCAAAATAAAATAATATCCGCCAAAAATACCTGCCAACAGTCAAATTTTATTGTCAGTTTTAACGCTCGCTTGTAAGATACTACTTAGATAGCTTTTCGCGTTTACCTAATACCGTTAACCTAATCTTCAAAGAAAAAAAATTAGAAAATAGCCATCAGTCAATTTTCAAGGCCTACCCATCGATGTCTCAATCCAAATACAATTGTCCCGTTTGTCCAGCTTTCGCATGTCATCCGGAATCTGAAATTTTAAGGGATAGCCCCAAAAACGGGCTCAAAAACCTGTTTCACTGCCACATCATAACACTTGTAAAGATTCAAACATTTTCCAAGGTCGTCAGAATTCAGCTAAACTCAAAAAAGTTCAGGTATCTTCTCGTAGTCATACCGGTGGCGTCTCAAATAAGCAGATATCGCCTCCTTTCAGGATCAGAAATCTGGGTTCCCAACGTTGTTTCGGGTCTGCGGCGAGGTCTTCGGGGATTCGCTCGTTTACCCAGCCAATGTGGCTGATCTGAAATAGGTGTTCTACGGGATGTCGTGGTCTAACTTCTCTCTCTCTCTCTCTCTCTCTCTCTCTCTCACTCTCGCCGCCGCTCTTCTCTTTATCACTCTCTCACTCTCTCTCTCTTTCTCTCGCTCTCACTCTCTCTCCCCCGCCCTCTCCCTCTCTCTCGCCCGCTCTCTCTCTCTTTCTCTCTCTTTCTCTCTCACTCTCTCTCTTTCTCTCGCTCTCTTTCTCACTCACTCTCTCTCTCTATCACTCTCGCGTTACAAACCTGCTCACTCTGATGCAAATACTTGTTGCTCATCTTGATGCTCTTCTGGTTGAGGTGGTTGATGTGATGGTGGATTTTTATTAGCCACTGATCCAAGGCTTTATTGTCCTGAGGTATCGGATTCTCATCTCAGACGTCATCCCTACCTCACAATGAATAATCCCTGAAGATGTGCCATCAACAGCGCGAAGTTCGAAGGCGTTTTGCCTAAAAGTAGTGCAACATAGTGAGCATGTCTGCGAATATAAGTCCAATCTAATAAAATAGCGTGCAAAAAAATAGCAATAAAGTTATATAACCAGAAACATACCTTAAATTATCGGTTCCCCACAAAAACCTCGTAATGTAAGCCATTGGCAGTGGAATTGTAGAGATAGTGCGCCACTTTCCGTCATCACGATCAAGGGTTCTAAAAGAGCTGATCAATTGACGCTGTTTCGTAATCCCATAAAATTTCATTATTATCCATTATTACCAACGCGTAGCCTATATTTTTAACAGTATAAAAATCACGCCTCAACTAATTGCATACTACTCACCCTAATGATGCGTGATGCGTCGCCTTGCCGTCAGGTTTCTTTTCATACAGGCCCAGATCCGAGTGGGCTTTCATCGCTGACTACAAAAACCGTACTCCTGTTTTAAAGGAACTAATAACCTTCCAAGTATTCGGCTCGTATAACTTATCCAGGGCACTGCCGCTCCTCCCGGGTTGTAACGAGACGGCTGGCCTAAAAAAGATCAAGAAAATTGTCTGGAGGATACTTTAAGTATGGTGCGATACTGGTGTAGTGGCGAACGCCTAGGGTGACCTCGTCGGCGTCGCTTTTGAGCATGTCTACCACCTGAATAATGAGCATAGTACTGTAGTATAAAAAGACACGCCTCATCATGTGATTTTCCATCAACTCCAACACCGTTTACTTCGACGATAGCGTCACCGACGAAGAGCTGTTTGGTTTCTTCGGCTGAAAAAAAGGTATCGATAGAAAACGAATCAAGGAGGTTTAGAAGAGAGAAGAGAGAGAGAGAGAGAGAGAAAGCGAGAGAAACGAGCGAGAGAGGTAGAGAGAACGAGATAGTGTGAGAGAGTGCGCAAGCGCGTGGGAAAGAACCATTTTCTAAACTCACCTGGCATACCCGGGAAAATTTTCGAAATCACGATCGGGAAGCTGCTGTTCTGATCGCCTCCCTAAATTTTTCAAGGTATGAGCGGTAAGCAATCATTCCAAAGTTGTAATAAATATTTCCAGATCTATATCCTACCCGAATGCTCAACCCCAATCCTTGCACATCCTTCCGCTTCTTGATAACAACTTGGCGAGTGGCTGTCTCTTCCGGAGCTACTGACGGCTCGTCGACGACGAGGTCAGCCGGGATTTGGATCGATATTTGATCTGGAGATATCATTATTAATTTTCGACCTTGCCAAAGAAAAACCTCAAAAAAATGCCGAACCTTTGGTGAGCAAAAGCCTGGAAGGTCTTCCTCGGCCTTTCCCATCGGAAATAAGTACGAGACCGTGATGGATCTAATCGTGATATAGCCGATGGATGCCAATAATGTTTTTACTATTAAACGTCATAAAAAAGTATAAAACTGACCACATCCAAATTTCGGTGTTTGTTCTTCATTTTGAATGCTGAGATCTCTGAAAAGGGTCACACATTGCTCTAATTAAAGTTGTAGCTATTAGAAACATATCTGAAGCATTTTAGTAAAACTTTTAAGGAAAGAAGAAACTAGAAATAGCATAAATATAGCCTCAGCACCCGGTAGAGTTAGTGCGTGTCGTCGGGGGGCACCCGTTACAGCCTAGCTGGCCCGAGGAGACCCAAGGACCCAATTCCCCGCAGCATTACAACCAGGGCAAAAGGCCAGCGGGGAAGCAGGCCCTGAGGGCGCAAAGAGGGGCCAAGGATCAAGAAAGAAAATGATCAGCTGTGAAATAGGAAACAACAATGCAAGGTGAGGCACGTTAGGAGGAGGACCCTAAAAAAGGCTTTAGTCTAATCAAAAAACTCGGTTTTCTCGTGCGTGGTTTTTTGCGAAATAAAATCGGTAAATTTCCAGAAAGGATCAAGGTTAATTTTTAATTTTTGAAAGTAGATACTATCATCAAAAACGACAGAAACACCCAGGAGGACGCGAATAAAGCTAAAAAGCTTTTAAAAGCCTATTATTAAATTCATAGCATTGATAATTCAGCGTAGAATAGCTCTACTCTCAGCCGCGTTCTAATACAAATTATGGGACCAATTCAAATATAGACGATTACAATAGAAAACATGGCAAAAATTCTGCTTTTGCAAATCAAAAATTGACGCCAACTTTTCCAGGTGGTCCCCAAATAGGCACGTTATCTCCAGGTGTGAAGCGCAATAAATTTCTCCAGGTTTTCGGGACCACTTTGCCTCGATTTGAAGGTGGTTAAAAGACTAGGAGCAAAAAAAATCTTCCAGAAACGTTTATAGGTAGTAAAAGGCAGTTTTCGTCAAATTCTATGCGCCACCGGGCCGACCGCCGAATCTGAATCATCCCCCGAAATATCGCTCTGAAACCTGTCACATTTCCCCGGTCCGACTCCCCGCCCAAAATAGACTTCCAATTTACATTTCGCTGTGGAGGGGATCTATTTATACCCGGATGTGTTGCTAAATGAGGCGAGGGACGGTGTTTTGTATGCTTTATTGATCAAAATTCTGCCACAAAAGCAAAGCAGGCAGAAAGTGACATTTCGGGGGGTTGCCGGCTAACTAGGAGCTGCAGAAGGCGGAAGAGAAAAAGCAGAAGCCTTGGAGGAAGCCGTTGGATCGGCAGCAGTCGTCAGCGTCACCTCCCGCCTAGAATATCAACAATTTTTGCTGATCTGGAGTTACCTAGACTTATTTTGCATAAATGTGTATCTTTGTGTGTGTGTGTGGATGTCAGTTTGGACGCCCGATTTGAGGCCCTTCCCGTGTCCAAAATGCCCCAATTCTTCGTCGCTTAGGGGAATCGACCCTTCTGTTTCCGATGGCGTTCTCATAATTACGATAAAATACAAGTTTACAAAGTTAAAGCCGGTTTTATTGATTTTTGGGGTCCCTGAAGGCTAATTTGCATAATGCGAAAAATAGAAAATTTCCTCATTCTTGCAAGTTGCGCTCGCGCGTGTGGTCGGTTGGGGGGGGGTCCGAAGGACGAAGCTATCGAAAAATCAATTTCGCATGCAAGGGCCCCGCATTCCAGCGCCCAAGGCCCGCGAAGCGGGTTTTGGGCGCTGGTATCATTATGATTTTGATCTGTTATCCACTTCTTTAAAGGCTAAGTACTTCAATAACCGCATGTGCGGGGATCGGACCTGCTTGTAAAAGCGAAACGGTTACTGCCCGAAATTGCCAGAAAATTGATTTCGCTGCGGAAATTGCAAAATCTTTGAAAAAGACGGGTCGTTTTCGGGGCGAAGGCTACTTTTTGAGCGCATGATCGCTACATGTCGTAATGCTTATTTCCGCAAAACAACGGGGTTACACGGAGGTTGTGGCTAAACTTACCGGCAACCAGGGCAATCCGGCGGTCCCGAAAAAACGTAAGGGTCCCCACTTATGTTTTTTTTAATTCGAAAATTTATTTTGTAAAAATTTCTCTCGCTGCTCTTCCCGAAATATGGAATGGAAACTAGGCCCCTGTTGGAAATCGATCTCAAATAACGCGCAAGGACTGAACACCAATTTTTTTCTTCCTCAGAAGATCTTATCGTCCAGGCCTGGTCCTCATTTTTCTTGAGTTGGACGTGGACCCGGAACGAAACATTCGTTTTTTCGGAGACAAAGGAGGTTAGACATGGTCAAGGTATAAAGGCCAAACTGTTGATACTCCAGATAACAGCCTCAAAGCGCCGGAAAGTTGTTTTGTAAATGAGGCTCTCATTGATCTTGCTTGTATTCGTCCTCGCTGGCGGTAGGTTCTTTCAGGCTCGACAGTGTGCTATGAGCGCGTAAATTATTTTCTCGCTGAGCATGGTTTTCCTGTTTTTGATCTTCTATTTTTTTCAGTCGAACTTCTCGCAGCCCTTCATCAGTGCCCTCGCAAATGCACGGTGAGAGCCAGAAGCGTTTTACGTGTTTTTTTTTAGTTTTATTGCGGGACTTATTTTGCATTAAAATTTAGCGTAGATAGATTGATTTAGCGCGTCGCAAAAACGATCCAGCAATTTCAGGACACGCCCCTCGTTGACGCATGCTGCCGGGCCCACGGCTTCAAGCATGGCATCTGCATACGTGGATGGACAAGATGTCACAATAGATTAGAATGGAGATAAATATTGCTCATTGCTTTTTTTTTTCGCTCAGACTCAAAGAAAATGATAAGGCAATTAAAATTACGATAAAATTATTGAAAATTGCTGCCAGACATGGAAAAAAATGCGCTTAGTGTATCGGTTTCTTCGACTAATTTTCTAACACCCGTAGACCGTCTCACAGTCAAATAAACAATATCAAATATCAGCTCATGCCCAAAAAAAACGTCAATTTCTCGAAATTTGGCGAGGTGGTTGTTTTATGCAATCCGTTTATCGGATAATGTGTCAATAAAAAATAACCGATACAGCGGCAAAAGAAAAATGTTTCATACATCAGCGTTTAGCAATGTCCCACTATAATATGGATGAAATCTCGTCAAAAACTCTCAAAATTCAAACTCGCAAAACTTTATCTCTTTCGAGGACCGATAAGGTATCTTAGAAAATATAAATTTCCAGATTAATCAAGTGGTAGTACCATTAAAACATACACAAAATAAAAAATCGCACCACTGTTAGTATCATTTCAATACCTTTCTCCCTTCAAGGTCATCAAAGGCAGTGAGATCAGCTCCTACAGCGCGGAGGGACCGCTTGAAAAATGTGGTCCACGGACCCTTTGCTCGCTTTTTAGGCGTCGTGGGCAAAACGGGTTCAACCTCGACAATATCGCTCGGGTCTTACCGGTATATAAGCCCAGAAAGTCGGCTAGGTAGCAGCAGATTTGACTGAGAAATCATGAAATTCCTTATCGTCTTGCTCCTCGTCATCGCCTTCATTGCTGGTATGTCTGATTTCAGCTTATCTTCCAAATTGCATAATCTTACCTGAAAAAAAATCAATTTCCTTTTCTAAAGGTACAAGGAAGGCAAAAATACAAAATTTTGGTTCTTGTGTATTCCGGGGGGAAGAATTCGCGGGTGGGGAAACCGAACTTATTCGGCCCAAGCCTAGATTTTTTATATAAATAGCGGAAGTGTTTCTAAATTGTTTATAGCTATTCCTAAACATGAAAGCTTTACAAAATTTAATTTTTTGGTCGAAAAATCGATTTTTCGGCCCAAAAATGAGCAAGTTTTCGACTTTTTCAAAAGTTTTTCTAACTTTTTAAAAAGTTTTTCCGATTCAAATAGGCTTAAATTTTGCTAAAAACAACGTGAAAACACTTTACATCTGATTACTATTCCCACGAGGGCTGACAAAAAAAATTTCGGTTCCCCCACCCCCACCCTCTTTTTCGCAGACTGCATTCGAAAAACCTTGCCTTTTCAGTCCAAGTGGAAGCTGATCGATACCAGATCTGCGACAATCCATGCAAGGTACGTTTGATCCATCGAAACAAGCACAAAAGGCATCTATCTTCTTGAAAGGGCGGTCCCTGTAATTCATTTGATGTGTTTTTTGCAGACCGGCGGAGCGGTGAACACTTGCTGCCGGGTGCACGGCTTCACCGAAGGGATGTGCTACGGGCATTCGGCATACTGTCGTTAGAGTTTAATAAATCGTCATTTTGCATTCTTCAAAAAAATTTTTGCGATCGAGAACAAGGTTTAACTATTTTGTGGAAGGCGAAATGCTGATTTTCATTATTGTCGAAAACTAGAACGTTGGCCACAATTTTGATTGCCAGCCAACACACCGACCAATTTTCGACGCGAGTTTAAATGTCTTTTCCATTTAGAGACTCCATATTTTGCAGAATTGGATTTTGTTGTCCAAATTTTGGCTATCGCTGTCGGGGTTGTGGCTGTCGGGTTTTATCGCAATCGAATTTGTCGAATCCAAAGCGACGTCGACATTTTCGCATCTGTTGTATTTTGCATGTCATGCGATAATTTCCACGTCTCTATAGAAATAGAAAATATCGAAAACTTAGAATACATGGGTTCCAGTTGATTTTTTATTCCATGAAAAAGCACAAGCGGAGGTTGGAGGCCAAATTCAGGGCGAGTATTCAGTAGGCGAGCATGGACATTTAGGGGACAGAGAAATTCACATTCTTTAAAGGGACAGGGACACTATTTGCGAAGGGCCGACGAGCGGGGGGCGGTCGAGTACTGGGTGGAGGCGGTCTGCTGCTGGGTCGATGAGGTGCGGCGGAGGGGCTTCGTCGACTTGGTGGACTTGGTCGACGACTTCGAGTTGGACTTCTCCGACTTTTGGGTGTCCATCGTGTTGTTGGTGGTGGTTGAGGTGGCGTTGGGGCGGGATTTCATGGAGGTGCGACGGCTTGAGGATGATGGTCGCTCCGAAGCCATCTCCCCGTTGACGACCTTCATGAACGTGTCCTCAAGGCCGCATTGGGTCACGTTGTAGTCGGCAATTTCTGGAATTCAGGGATTGTAAGTTTAAGTAAAGCTGAAGGGTTTTTCTAGGTGAAGCCGAAGCTTAAAGGGCTGGAGAAAGATGGGCCGGCGTCCGTCGGGGTGACGGACCGCCGCGGCGCTACCATCGACGCTTTCCCTCGCGTAAGCGCCCCCAAAACCCCCTCTCGCGTTTGAAGAAACCAGTTTATTGGCTATAACTTTTTCATTTAGCAATGTTTTCACCTAAAAATTCATGAAACCAAGGAGTTAGTGATACGCACCGATGGTAATAATTTGAGCCTGATTGGATAAAAGGCGGTCAAGTTCTGAGCCATACGGGTTTTTTGGGACACTGTTTTGGCTGAAAAAGAGGCGCATAGACAGCAAAACACCTCTAGAAAGTTGAAAAGTACGTTGCCATCCTTTAGCTAGGTTTTCTACAACATTTTTTAGCTATTATCACCATGAAATTGCTTTATTTCTAATGGCAGTTCTTGTACAGGTGGCAATGCGCCCTAGGGTATCTGGGGGCCCTCCGCCGCCCCTCTCCACTCGACTCTCTGGTGTACTGGCTAGCGCATCGGACTGCGGGGCGGACCATCCCTGGTTCGACCCCCGTCCGGTGCGACCCTCTTTGCTCTTTCATCGATTCCATCTTTCTCCAGCCCTTTAATCCTGAGCATAAGCCTAAGCCTAAGCCGATTTGAAGCCTGAGCCTCTAATCCTAAGCCTAAGCGGAGCCCAAGCGAAGCCTAAAGGAAGCCTCACCTTCCGTCAAGCCTGAGCCTGAGCCTAGGCCTACTCTTAAGCCTGAGCAAAGCTCAATCTAGGCCTAAGCCTCTGCCTACGCACCAAGCCCACGGCCCTCCTGGACCAACGCCAACACGTCGGCCCAGATCTTTGACCACGGCAGCAGGTTCGTCGCGGGGATCTAAAGTACGGAAAAACTACCGTACTCCTGGAATTCACATACCACCCAGACGCCGGTCAGCGAGTGGCCAATCTCATGGATTTTGGCCTCGGGGAAGGTGTCCGTCACGGCGCGGCAGACATTCTCGATGCGCTGCTTCGTGCGCTCTTCCAGTTGATCGGCTGTCAGCTCGCCGACATCGCCGCCACGCAGGACCAGGGTCAACTTGTAGCCGCCGCTGTACCTAAGGGGCGGAGTTGTCGGCGTTTTTTCTGGGAATTCCATTTAGGGTATGGAAAAATGCTGGTCAACGTCGGCAAACCGTTCTAGAGCGCGGACTCAGACCCACTTCGACTTCAAGTGCTGGCTCGTCCCAATAGCAATCATGCGTCCCTTCGTCAATATCGAAACCTTGGAGCACAAGGCTTCGCACTCATCCATCGAGTGCGACGTCAACAGCTGGGCGGTACGGCCACCAGCTCCACGGTGACGGGCCAAGTCGAGGTACGACCAGATCTCGCGGCGGGCCTGCAGGAGCTTCACTCAAATTCTGGCAAATTTCCCCCACCCTCGGGTCCAATCCAGCTGTCGGCTCATCCAAAATTCGAATCGTATTCTGGGCGAGGAGGGCGATGCCGATGCTGATCTTCCGCTTCTGGCCGCCGCTGTAGTGGCGAAGACGGCGATTCGCATCTTTTGCCATCCCGACGGCGACCAGCATCTGGAGTTTGGGGCTATTTGGCAAAGATCCTTTTGGAACAACCTCCGAAGCGATCCGTTTCGGATCCGAGTACCCATGGCAAGCCGCCATAATCTCCAAAGTCTCCCGGCCTGTCAGATCGAGGAGTACGGCATCGAACTGTGGACAGTAGCCAATCGGCTGGAAAATTTTGCTCTTTTGTATGACCACATTAACACCCACCCTCCATCCCGTCCCCTCTTCACCGTAGATGCTGATCTGCCCGTCCGAGGGGAAGCGACGGCCCGTCAGGATGTCGATCGTCGTCGTCTTGCCGGCACCGTTGGTTCCTGAATTTGGTGGCAGGTAAGTTAAAGGGCTTATGAAGTCGTAATCCCACCAAGCAACCCGAAACACTGGCCCGTCTCGATGCCAAAGCTCAGCTCCTTCACGGCCGGTTCGGACTTGCAGCCGTAGGTTTTGACTAGGTTGGAGACCTGGAAGCGGCAGCGTGTGCTTTCGATTTGGATCGGCCCGACCCCCGCTCGTTCCCCACTCACCAAAAGAGGCCAATCCTCCCTCAGGTTCGCGTCCACGTAGTTCCGCTCGCTGCTGACGTCCTCATCACTATCAGGCACCGAGACCCAGCTCGAGCGCGAGAAGCACATCTGCTGGGCAGCGTCGAAGATCTTCCGGCGGATCGGGGCCGAGACGAGACAGATGAAGGCGAACGTCGAGAAGGCGCCCGAGGCGAGCATCGCAATGATTTGGCTCCTAGAAAAATCGATTTCAGCAGGTTCAAAGATGGGATCAAGATGTCCTTCTTCAAGTTGACGCCACTCACCACGGGGTCGCCACCGGTCCCAACGTCGCGTCAACACCGGCCATCAGGCCGATCGGCGGGAAGAAAAAGGACAAGAACCACTAGTGGAAGCGGATACGGTAAATTTTATTGGAGCCGTACCTTAGACACGCTCAGTCCCGTTTCGCCAGGGTTGAAGAGCAAGGCGGCCGCCATCACGATCAGGATGGCGATGACCGGGGCGATGATCTGAGGGGGTTGGTGTAGATTTTTGGCTTTTAAGCTTTAAAAAGCAACGCGACAGACAACGCTAGACGCAACGCGACAGACAGCGCGAACGCAACGCGGACGCAACTCGAACGCCACAAACCTGCCAACAAGCCAACATCAACGCAGCCTTCGTCTCCGAGTTGAACATGAACGAGACGCAGTAGACGAATGGGATGCACGCCCAGAAGTAGAGCAGCCAGTAGGCGAGCACGCTGAAAAAACGTCTCCTTATACCGATAGGAACCCACTATGGTATCTGTCCCCAGCGGTACACGCCGCCGTAGCCAAAGATCAGCGCCGCGATCGGGAAGAGAAGTAGGTAGACGCACAAGTCGTACAGCAACGACGCGCCCCACAACACCACGGGGTTCAGCCGCCCGAGTAGTTGCTGAAGACGGGGATTTGGGGGATTGAAAAAGATGACTTGCCTGGTGCCGGAAATGGGAGACGCGCTCCTCGACGAGGAAAGCAGCGCACGCCGAGGTGCACGTTGCCAGGGCGGTCAGTTGGCAGAGGATGATCATCATTGGGCCGAACTGAAGCAGGGAAATTGGATGGGCGCGGCAGAATCCATACTCATACCCATACCATTCCCGTCCCCTTAATTCGTTCTCACCGCGCTGGACAGCTCCTCCAGAAACGCATCGACCCCGTCCTTCCGTTTGTAGACGCGGATCCCGGCTTCCAGGCTCGTCTTCTTCTTGCCGTCACTGAAAGTGGGTATTCCGGATAGTCAATGCGTAAAACTCGGTAGAAGCCGGCAAATTCAACACGTACAACGCATCGTGCAACCGAAACTGGTCAACCAGCTTGACGACGATGGGCGCCCCGTGGTGGCTCAGCCGGTTGTAGTAGGCTGTCGTGTTCCCACCGTCTAGCCGTATGCCCATTCCAAGGGGCGGGGCGTCGAGGGAAGCCTGAATTTCCGGAATTCTATTCCAAAATCCTTGAACACCTTCAGAACGGCTGTATCAAAGCTGTCGTGCGCGGCGACGGAGATGAACTCGGTCTCCATGGCCTTGAATTTTTCGTTGTAGAAGCTCGAGCCGGGGGAGCCGCCGCGGGCGGTGTCTTGGAGGATGACCCGGGCCGGGTATAGCATGTCGGAGAAGTCGTAGGGGATGTAGACGTCCTAGAAGATCAGGTTGTTGAGAGATAGCTAATCCAAGCTTACGGTCATTTCACGGGGCACCGTTGCCTCCTTTACGTTTCTCAAGCAGAGAAGCAGGCATAGGGTGGGGAGGACGAGCTGCAGGTGCCCAAGGAGTTCACAATCAAGAAGACAACAAGACCTGCGCCAAAAGCAGCCCCCAATTGCGGTAGTTGTGCAGGAAGCGCTTCCGGAGCATCGCCAGGAATTGGGCCCAATGTAGCGCGGATCCGTCGAGTTTTCGGGCTTTTACCTAAGGTTCCAAAATATGTCGAACATCTACTGCTCATACCCAGCTCTCCGTCATGGCGGCCACACCGGAAGATCTGTCGGTCGAGTTGCCATCAGTCACCTGGAGTACCGCAAGACATTTTCAAGACGTTCAGCCAGGCGGTTACCTTCAAAAACACTTGCTCCAGCGTGTTCATCGACAGGCCAAAGTCGAGGAGGGCTACCGGGAGGTTGGGATCGGGTTGTTTTTGCATCATGTTTTCCAGGCTAAAATCAGAGCTAAGGATGAGAGAGAGAGAGAGAGAGAGAGAGAGAGAGAGAGAGAGAGAGAGAGAGAGAGAGAGAGAGAGAGAGATTTCCTACTGGTTCATCAACACCGGGAACTTTGTCTTGTGCTCCACGGGGATCGTCACGTCAATTTGGCGACCGCGAGCCACTCCAACCGGATAGTCAGCGATATCACCACCGCAAATTTTGTGGCACACCTCAGCGATATTTTGGCCAAACTTCTCGAGCTGGAATGTTGAAGTCAGTAGATGCACAACAAAGAGAGCGAGAGTCCCACCGCCTGGTAATCCACTCGAGCCGTCGTATCCTGAATCACGCCGTCCACCACCGGACTTCCGACGACCGTTAGAATGTAGCCGGTGCCGTACTTCTTCTTCAGGTATTCCGGGGAGCCGTTGAGGATGTTGCGGCCGCTCTGGATGATCGTCACCCAGTCGCCGACCTTCTCCGCCTCGTCCATGAAGTGGGTCGTCAGGAGGATGGTGCTGGAAAAGCGGAAAAGTTTCGATTTTCACGACCTGGGCAAGCCGGACAACTTCAACAAGTTCATACCGATCTTTCTTCACTCGTTGCAACAATTTCTCCACGGCAATCCTCGCTCCAGGATCCATTCCCGCCGTCGGCTCGTCCAGAAGTATCACCTAAAAATTAAATTTTTTGGAAATTTCGGTAAGCTACGTTCGGATCCCCAATGACGGCCATCGCTACGCACAGTTTCCGTTTTGTACCACCGGACAGGTTTTGGGCGAGCTGGAATAACGTAACGTGACGGATTGAACTTTCGGGTGCTGGTCTCTTAACGGGGGGGGGGGGGTATTTCCACGCCACCTCATCCTTGGCGTCGTAAAAGTCGAGGTCGTGCATCAGCCTCTCGGCCTCATCCTCCCAGTCTCCCGATGAGCCCTTGAGGTGGTGGAAGAACCAGAGGTGCTCGCGGGCGGACAGCTTCGCGAAGAGCGGGTTTGTCTGGGGGCACAGGCCAATGGGGCCCTCGACGTGGACGGTACCTCAAAAGAATCGAAATCGATGATTTCGTTCAAAAGGCAAACATTTTGCCACTGGCGGGAGCCGAACCCGGACCCTACGCGTGATAAGCGACAACTTAGCCACCCGGGCAAACAGATTTCGGTAACTTTTTGATTTTCTCAATCATTCTTTTCTATTTTTCAACCCACCAAACGTTGGCTTCGTCTTGCCGCAGATGACGTTGAACGCTGTGCTCTTGCCGGCGCCGTTGTGCCCAAGCAGTACAGTAACCTGAGTCGTTCAAAGTTACTACTTCTTTAAAATTTCGTACCTGTCCTCTCGTCGCTCGCAAATTCATGTCAATGAGCCCGTAGCCGCCGGTGAGCCCGTATTTCTGAAAAAAAGGGTCGTATAGGTCGGAATTTAAGAACGATGCCGCGACACGCACCGCAGCTAATAGGCTGTACTTTGCGTATCCGCGTCCCTCCTTACATGGCTTCGTAGTCCCTTTAAAACGTTTGATACTCACCTTTGTCAACGACTCCACCTCAATATCGGCCACTTTCGAGGACCGAACTTGGTCAACTTCATCGACAAGGCCCTTCCTCACCTCCGGCTTGACCTGCTCGCCCTCAAGGTGGTAGTGGCCCTACGTTTTTTTATGGAATTTTGACGGCAATTCTACCCTCATCTCTTTCATCCATTCCTTGAACCACTTGGTGCCCTCGGCTTTTCGGCTCTGGTCAACCGTCCACGCGTACAAGTGCATCCAAACACAATCGATCTAAAAAATTCGAAGCTTAAAGTTGACTTGCCAGGCCCTTTAAAGTCAGGAGCCAACCTACAATGAGCATTATCAGCGCGCTGGCCAGGTTGAAGTTGGCGCTGCCGCGCTCGAACAGCTCGCCGAAGCCGAGGTGTTTGCCTGGGGAAGAACAAAGTTTTTTGCATACGTTCACCAACCTCGTTGATCATATCCAACCATGACGCTGACGGCGGCAAGTAGGGCGTGGTTGAGGTTGAGGGAGTAGATGTACGTCTTGAACGGTCTGTCGAGCTCGACGTCGGTGAAGCTGGGGATCATGAAGGAGACGGCCCAGAGGAGCATCGTTCCTGAAAGGCAGCTTCAAAAAATAGCTAAGACAAGACGACGGCTTAGGCACAAAGCTAAGCAAGCCTAAGCTTAGTCTGAGCCTCAGCGAAGCCCAAGCCTAAACCTATGCCTCAGCCTACGCCTAACCCACCTCTAAAAACACCCGACGACGTCTTCAACATGGACGAACACATCAGCGCAAAAGACAGCGCCGCCCAGGAGTAGACAAAGATGGTGAGGATGACCAGGATTGCGGGCACCATCTGCAAGAAGTACATTCGGGTGCGCGTATATCATCTACTTCTTACCTTCAGATGAAGAATAATCGGGAAGCACAAGACGACGTAGATCGGCAACGCCTTCAGCCACCCCATCAAGCAGTGAGCCGAGTAGAATTGGGTCACGCTCAGCCCCATCACCTCCATGTATTCCTGAGGGAAAAAAAGGCGTATTGACGTTATGAACATGGTTTTAAAGGGCGCGGCAAGTGGCGGGAAAACCAGTTTTTTTCCCTTTGATTTTTACGGCCCAACAAAAAATCTAAATCATTTTTATAGCATTTTTCATAGTTTTAAAATAGAATAACAATACAAAAAAATAATAATTAACCTTCTAGTAGTCAAAAACTACTAAAACCCCCATAAAACCCATGAGATATCCTCAAAAAGTAGGTATAAGTGGAAAAACAAAAAGTGGTTGTGCTGCTAAACAAACCTGCTAGCCTTCCCCCCGCCTCCCCCGCTAACAGCTCGGAAACCGCGGCCTTACTCATTTGAAGTCCATAGCTAAAAATTCATAGACATTCCCTCTACGTCGCTTTAAAGGTACACTGAAGCCAGCACCCACCTTCAAGCCGGCTTCTCCCTCCGAAGCGATGGCCCGGGCCAGGTTGACGACGTTGGGGAAGATCAACAGCGCCATAATGATGGGGTAGGCGGTCAGTGACTGCAAATGGCAAAATCTGCTCTCGCCAGCGTGTGCGTTGCGATTCGCGTTACTTGCCGTCCCTGAAAGCCCAAAAACCCACGTCTCGGATTGCATCCGCTGTATAAGCGGCCGTCGGAAACTCGTGTACAGTAAGCGGCAAATGACGTTTGCTTCCATTTGTCTCCGACATTGACTCAATTGCCTAATACCAAAATTTGAGAATCCAAGCATCTCTCACCTCAATAAAAACCTGATCAACGGCATACTGTAGCCCGAGGGCGCCGGTCAGCTGATACTTGGGCGGGGGAGCCTTGTCGAGCTGGAAAAGGATCCAAAAATCAGATCGAGCCTACCGTGGGCTCCCATTTCTCTTTGCGAGACCACTTCGCATCCGTGGGTTTCGGAAACCAGATCGTGTAGTCGATATGCCCATTTTTCGGTTCGAGCTTTTTGAATTCGACGCCACTGAAAAAGTATGAGAGCTGGAAAGGGGCTACACTACTTACACTCTGCACGTGGCCTCGGCTACGGTTTCGTTGCTGGCCAGAGCTTTTTCGAGTGTCTGAAAGAAAAAGACTGCGAGAGAGAGGGGGAGAGAGTGGTAGCGAGAAAGTGAGAGAATGATAGGTAGAGCGAGAGAAAGTAAGTGAGAGAGAGAGAGAGAGAGAGAGAGAGCGAAGGATATAAAGAAGAAGCAATCTCGGTTATCCCATACTTTTAAATCTACTGCATACGTTGCCGTTTTATTCTTCCCAAGTCGAGTGAGAAGCCCTGTCATCACCTGGCTCATCGTCGCGTTCTCGACCCCTTTTTGGCCGCTAAAACATCAAGGGTTTCATGTCAGCGCGTCACGGATGCGTTGCGTGCTCCAGAAACCGTCACGCAACGCGCCCGCAACGCAGCACCACCATTTCTATCCGATTAAAAAATGTTACGTATAGATGACGTCGTCACAAGTCAGATTCATCCCGTCGAGTTGCCAGGACATCCCAGGGCTGGCCGGATAATCGACAGGCGCCAGCTCAAAATCGAGGCCCTTTAAAGGGACAGACAAGCCACACCTTATCCTCCGCGGACAGATACGCGAAGACGAGGGGCGCGGCGAGGAGTAGCGGGATCACGATCTCGAACACCGTCCAAAGCTGTGAAATTTGGAGCGTAACGTAGCGGTCGGCCGAAGCGTACCTTGTTCCTCCACATCAACCGCAGGTCTTTGCGGAATAACAGCCAGAATTGAGAGCCGGCCATCGGGGCGGTGGTTAGGCAGCAAGTGAAGGGTTGCCATTTATAGTTTCTAATTCTATGTATGTGCCTATGCAAATTTTGTGGAAGGTTATCACAGCTGCAACTTGGAAAATTTAGCACAATACGAACATTCAAATCGGAAACGTGCTTAGAAAACGGCTCATAAATAGGAAAAAAAGCGGCGCGTTTTTTCTTGCAAATCAAAAAATACAGGCAATTTTAATTAAAGTAAAAATAAGATAAAAATCCGAAGAGAATCTATTTGGAGCCAGACCCGAACGGACATATTTTGGCATTTTTTTCATAGAATAACTTTTGCTTTCTAAATTAAGGTAATTTGCATGTGTTTTAAAGCATTGAAAGTAGAAAATTTTATTAAATCCAATGTAAAATAAACCCAATAACAACAGTAATAAATACAGAAAAATTCCGGACAGTTGAATTACAAAAATCGCCCTTGCAGCACCAGCCTTGGCCCTTCAAGTTGCGGCCGAAGAAGTCGCCCTGGATTTGGAACTCGCCGGCGATCCAAAACGTCATATTTTAACGTCGACCACGCTGTTATCCTACTTACGGTACACATTAGCATATTACCACAACCCCAGGCCGCTATATTTTCCATGCTGTTCTAAAAAATCGCTATATTGAATCCGCCAAAAATTTCGAATTTGACTTATTTAAAAAGATCCAATAAATCATTTTGGAATACAAATTAAAAAAGCTAAATAAATCTAAGCAGGTTTTAAAATTTCGGCATTTTTACTTGGAAAAGGCAAACTGTTTTATTAAGGCAAATTAAGCTTTTTTGAAGCCAGAAGTATAATCCTACTATATATAAAAAAATAGTGTCTTTGTGTGTGTGTGTGTGTCGATTTGCATGCAACTTCCGTCTCTATGTCCGGAGGATAACTCAATAGGGGATGAATTTTAGGGTACATCTGATGCGTCGTTAGGTGCGTAATGGCTCTGTGATGACTGCACACTTCTCAGATATATGAAAATAAGCTATTTTCGATAATAAAAATAAGTTTTTCCAAAATATGCGGGCACCCTCTTTGTTAGGAAACAATTAGCATATACCGGAAGTAGAAGAAGCTTATATAATGAGATGGAAGGAAATCTTTTCATTTTTTTGGCAGTTTGATTGAGGGGGAATTATGCAAAGTTTACAATTTCATTTGTCCAAACGGGGCGGCTTTTCAACCCTGGTGAAGTACTTAAAAACATACCGCCAATATGCTCTTTGCACAAAAATCGGTCATACATTCAATCTTGTGCTCCTTAAATAATAATAATAAGGTATTTTCGAACCTTGTCGAGACTTACATCCCCACTATGCGATTTCGTCTTGGTATACAGCACCTCCTGGTAGCATTTCACCGCGTAACCGATTGATAAGAATGTGCAGAAAATCAGTAGCGATTTATACATTTTTGTGCGGCCGGGAAAGGAGAGGAAAATCGAAGGTTTTTGGTCGGGGGTGGGGGTGGGGGTGGCACGGCTTATCACTTGCTGGGCTTGGCGCGAAGGGTGCACCCCAATTTTTACGCCTGTTCTCGATGGGGCTTCATTTTATTTGGAAAGTGATGGCGGGAACGAATTTGGGCAGTCATTTAACGGTTATTCCATCCCAACGTGAACCTCGATTTGCCTCATTTTCGTAGTTCCGGCCTGGGGAACTCCTCTAATTTCGCGTTACGTCTACATGTTGGCGCTGACCATTATTTGTACTCTACTGTATACTTTGTTGCTTACTAAAAGCCGGTTACCCTCGCCTTCACATTCCTCAAATTTTAGTTGCAATGCCTTGGAAATAATGTGTTTTCCTAAGACGAAAATATGCTAAGAGTTTTAAGTTGAGCCTTAAATAATGCAAAATAAAAAAGTGATGGCGAAAATGCGACATCGGCGCGCACTTAAAAAGTGGTTTTCGCCTCGAACATTTCGGTTTTTCGCAAAAATTTTACGCTGTTTCGCGACGAAATAACTTTTCTAGTACTTCTCGGCGGTAACCCTGTCGCTTTTTGACCAGTAGGTTCAATCCCGCATACGCGATTTTTGACATCCGAGCCTCTTCAAAGATTAGTGCCAAGGCACCAAAGCTTGAGATGCAATTTATTCAAACAAGCATAGCACGATTGTGAAAACGCTGAAAATGAGGCCTTGTGCCGAAACACCATTGCAAAAATCCGGAGTGCAACAATGTAGCGTAGCGTCCGTCACCCGCCCGTCATGTGACATCGTTAGTAGCTGTGATTTGGAATCCTAAAAATCGTAACGTATAGACGCATAATTCTAGCGATCACCTTAAAATTAAAAACGCATTTTAAACCCTGGTTTCAAGACACTTACCACACAATAAGCTTCCTTTTCGATGCAACCCCACTCGACACCGCCCTAGAATCATCGGTAATTCTCCAGCCGAGCCGCCAGCCGGCCCCCAACTGTTGTATCTCGGCTACCCTTTACAGGGTTAAAGGAGCTCCGAACTGCCAAACCAAAGCCCTTTTGGAAGGCATCTTTGATTTCTGGCAAATTGCCAGCGGGCGCTGCGGGACGAGAGCCCTCACTCTTTCGATTTTGCGCGAAGTTGTTTTTGCCCGGTTTCTTTTTGAAAACACGATAATTAGCGCATTCTTGGCCCATTTTTGAAATCCTCACTCAATTTTAAATAGTTTTGGTGTTTTAATCATCAAATTTGGCCCAGAAACAGCCGAGAACGTGATTTCGAGGTGACAACAGGCAATTTCAACGTTTGCGAGCTTGCCGGCCGTGGGTGTACAGAGGCCTCCGACGTACAGGGCTCCTATTTTCGGGCCGTCACTCGATTTATGGCATTTCGTAGCCCCTTTAAGGGTAACCGAGATACATCAGGCTGCGCCCGGCTGGGACCGGTCATCTCGAGCGCATACAAATTTTCTTAAAAAATTCTTGCGTTTTCAGACCTCGTACACCAATTTTCCGCAAAAACTCATTGACGGACAGTCGACCAGCCTTTTCTAAAAGGGCAGGATTTCGGAATAAAAATTGGAATTACCGCTGCTGTATGAGTTTCCTCCACATCAGATGTTTGATCGCTCCAGCATTTGATGGAAAAGGTGGCTTGGGGTAGGAGGACAAGAAATAGGGCGAGTTTTAACATTCTTCTTTAGATAGAAATGGAATTTTGGGACTAGCAGTTACCAACAATGGTCCTGGAATTGTCGTCAAAAGTGGCTACTAGCGCGCCCAGTTCTTTGTTATGGCTATCGGAGCGTTGCGGAGTGACCAAATTTGTTGGTGTTTCTTTGGACGAATTTTGCTGCCTTCTTATAATATAACTAATATAGAAGATTATAAACATAAGTTGTATATCGTAACGTTACCAACAAAATCTGCAAAATATAATATAACTAATATAGAAGATTACATGATAAGTTGTATATCGTAACGTTACCAACAAAATCTGCAAAAAATTTTTAAAAGGTAGTTTTGCCTCCTACCAAATACAAATGCAAATTTGTTTTCTAGGCCTGATTTTTTGTAGTTTTTGTCTAGTATTGCAAGCTTTATACAATATTTATTAGACAAAATTCAGTAAAACAAAAAACAGGCTGATCAAGGCGATTTTTACAGCATCAAACGAAACGGCGGAATTACAGAGCTCCCGATCGCAGCAGTACATCGTTCCTGTAGCTCGCTTTCCGGTGGCGTCTATTGGACCCGTATAGTCTATCTGCTTCCCGTTTTTCTGCGAATAAATAAATAAATAGTAATGCTGTAAATTCCATTACCGTACACACTCCAGGTGCAGGGCATCCCCATTCGGTTCCGGTCTAAAATTTGGGTTTCCGCCCAAAAAGATTACTAACTTACCGGATAGACAAATTTTGCGCAGAAGTCTCCGGCGCAGGTCAGCTTGGCTTGCTAAAAACTGGGTAACGTAAAGTTTTTAAAGGTGCTTTCAAGCCAAAATCCCTTCTTCATTGTATCAAAAAATTCCAACGATTCTGAAAAATTGAGCTCATCGGTTAGTTTTGAAAACAAAACTATAATTTTATTAATTTCATGGTATCTTCAAGCTTAAGATACATTTTTTGTATCCTAAGCCGTTTTTACTACGCTTTAGTACCAAAAGTTGGTCAAAACGGTAAAGCCTAGGAAGATAATTGAGGCTAAAATTCCTCTTCAGACCACACGAAAAATTAAAGTTGAGCTATTCATAAAAGGTTTTAATAGCGGTAAAGTCACTACCCCGAAAAGTCATTACCCCGAAATCATTTGCATGATTTCATAGGAAATCCGCATGAAACGGGATTTTTCCGGGAAAAACAATGCCATCATTTTTCGGGGCAAACGATTTCGGGGTAGTGACTTTTCGGGGTAGTGACTTTTCGGGGTAGTGACTTTTCGGGGTAGTGACTTTTCGGAGTAGTGACTTTTCCGGGTAGTGACTTTTCGGGGTAGTGACTTTTCGGGGCAGTGACTTTTCGGGGTAGTGACTTTTCGGGGTAGTGACTTTTCGCGGTAGTGATTTTTCGGGGTAGTGACTTTCTGGTCGTGACCGGACGCCGTTTTAATAAATTACGATATTTGCAAGCTTATAATACACTGATCATGGAGTTTACATCTCCTTTACTACGCTTCTTTTGCCAAAACTTACATTCCCAGTGTGAACATTTGTTTTTGAATATGAAGTATCAGCCCAGCATTGCCTTGTCGCCGTTACGGCCGGCAGTAAAATATAGAAAAACATTAAACAAGAAATTCCCATATTTCGATGCTTCGACAAAGTGAATAACTCGCACAATGGCACCCAAAAATGGCCCACCCTGATGCGCCACCGGCTGAATAAACAACACTGGGATGCGCTGTCGGGATGAGTAATGGCTCGGAAAAGTAGATTTTATCAGCTTAGAAATATCAAGGTAAATATGGCCGTTAGAAAAGGTATCACAAGAGATATCTGGACGATAGCGCGAAGAGAATCATACCAAAAACTAGCCCAGAATTGGCGGAATTACACAATTTCTTATCACAACAATACAAAGCGCCTCTCTCTGTTTGTTTATAGTAGTTGTAGCCGTACCAGTCTTCGGTTTTGCCATTTTTCTGCAAAAATAACGACTTACCAGGTTAAAATTTAGAATTTTTCGGCTTTTTTCGAAAAGAGATTTTTCTACAAAACCTTCCATACAACAATAAAACACAAAAAGCAACAACTGACCGTACATGCAGTAACGGCCGGGCTTCCCCACTCGGTTCCGGTCTAAAATAAAGTTGCATAAATAGCATAAAAATTGTAAAATCTAGAACGTTGAAATGCAAATTTGAAGTTTTGCTATTAGCTAGGCTTGGAACAATCGGTTATGCCTTTTTGCCATGAAAAATCAGAAAAAAGTTATTTACCAAATACTCAAACTTTACGCAAGATTTCCCCGGACAGATCATCGCGATTTCCTAGAAAAATTTAGCAAATTCCAGCAAAAGAAATTTCATGGAATTTCATTTCGATTAAAAATTCCATTTACAAAAAAATCCTTACATGACCACTATGAGGCCGTGAAGGCGTCACCGTTCTATCGGACCAGCAGGTAATCGTTGCATTAATGTTAGCAATTACCAAGAAAATTAGAAAAATAGATTTCCCCATCTCTCACAATGTCTGTCAAAGTCCCCGGACCTTTGATCGGTTCTGTTCTATTTCGCGGGGGGGACAAAACTGTGCGGGGGGAAATATGCTTCGCGGAATCTTAGTTTTTCGCTATTTTCTCGGAATTTTTGCAACGCCATTCGATAGAGCATCCAAAAATATACGAAGAGTTTTTGTTTTAGCTAAAAATATTATAATATAAAAAAGTTATAGCAAAAACAAAAAAAAACTATTGAAACTGGTTCCGGAATGCTAGTTTTCGGCATTTTCGCCATTTTTTCGATATTTTGAACCTGTCATTCGATAGAGCATCAAAAAATATACTAAGAGTTTTAATTTCATCTAAAAATATTGTTTTATAAAATAGTTATAGCAAAAACAAGGTTTATTCGGTGTTTCCACATGGGATCGTGGAGTCGAAAGCTAGTTTTCGACATTTTCGATAATTTTCAAAAATTTCTTTAATGCCATTCGATAGAACGTCAAAAAATATACTAAGAGTTTTCATTACAACTCAAAATAGCATCATGTAAAAGAGTTATAACAAAACGGAGAAAATTTCCCCCCGCACAGTTTTCCCCCGCGAAATAGAACAGAACCCTTTGATCGTTGTTATCCATGCTCTATCACCAGGGGGTAGCCAAGAAAAAAATTTCGGGGAGGGCCCTGAAAAATTTTTTCAGAAAACTCAAAAAAATTAACGAGAAAACGGCACCGCAGGCGAAAAATTTTGGAAAAAAAAGGCTACTTAGCTCTACAAATAGCAGCAAAAACGTGAAAAAATAGCGCCGCAGGCAGCAAAATTTTTGAGAAAATAAAAATCATAAGGGTCCCCCCTTATGAAATTTTCGGGCCCCGGCCGATTTCGGAGGGGGCCCCGAGCCCCCGGGGCCGGTATTACGCTACGTCCCTGTCTATCACCCATGCTCTTACCCCAAAAATGACACCGTTTTCCGGCTATGCAAACACGCTCTAAGGGCACAACAATAAAAGCAAGCCGTAAGTCAGCTGGAATAGAATGCAGCTTTTTTGCTAGAGAAAATGGGCTATTTTATGGGATTTGAGGCAGCTAATATCGAAAAAAAACTTTCTAGAAACCATTTAAGCGGGCAGAGATCTTCAGGCGAGCTTTCCGGAAAATCCTTGTTTTTTTTTAGCTGAAAATAACGTTTATGACAATCCATTAATCGTAAAATCACCTTATAATCACCCTGTTTTACAAAGATGATCCTTTAATAATTTATTTACACGTAATTATATAAATTTTCCATTAAAACCCGATAAATATCGAAATCCGGCCGAACGCCTTGATGATGCGGCCTGCCGGGGATTTTTCGCTGCCCTCCGCATAGAACTGCGGCATCGGATCTTCCGTACTCGTGATTACAGACTAAAAGCTCGCATTAAATTTTATATCTATCAGAAAATAGCCTCGATTTTGCAAATGATTGTTTTCGAAACGTTTCTCGACCCACCGGGCACATTCCACATTTCTTGTAAACCATATAATGAACAATATCCGCCAACTCGTCAAGAGTCTTACCAACTGGGTTGATTTCATCCAAACTTAAATATAATGCGCTTTTTCTACTAAAAAACACGTTTAAAACCTGTCCCGAATCTCCATCTCGATAGTATGAAGCTCATCGGGGTACCAATTATACCAAGCCCGATTGCTGCTCGCAGGTTCCGGCGCTAATTTGTGGACTTGGTCCAGTTTTTCAAAAACTCACCCATATTGCCGCTTCTTCTGTGCAAAATCAGGGTCTGGTTGTTGATCAGTTCCGCGTAGGTGTACTCCGAATATCGCTTCATCCTTGGTGGCACGCTGTAGGAGAGCAGGAAGTAGTCGTTGTAGTTGGTACCGTCTTCCCTAAAAAAATTTGGTTTTGTTCCTTTGTAACGTTTTTTAACCTACCACTTGTGCGAATCGATTTTCTGATAGATCTGATCAAGCCCTTGCCCCTCTTGAAAACGGGCCACGGTTTCGTTGACGGCAAAGTAGGAAAATTCGAGTTTCGATGCGAAACGGCGCCACTAAATGACGTATTTTTATAATTTTTTTGTGTACTATTGTATGAATTCACATTTCCAACGTCTAGCTTGCTAAATACCTGTTTTTCTAACGCTTTCAACGACTGGATCTGCTTTTGCTCGTCCTTCAGAAAATTCCCAACAACCCGCCCGTCTCCATTCGATTTTACGGTATGATAGAGAATCGCCATCGAGCTCTAGAAGTCGCTATAAAACCTGGAAGCGCGAATTCTTACCAATTCCATCCTCGAGCGCCATATAATTTGAAAAACCTTCTCAAAATCTTCATATTTATATGCTTTGGCCTGGAGTTGATCCGCGAAAAATTGGGCCATCACCAGCTCGGC